CGTGGCTTCGTTGTTTTCATGTAACAGAAGGTTGTATTCTGCTTCTCATAAAAGGATTCGTGTTTATTTCGACATGAAATTGTAATCCGAATGGAATCGAAAGATAATTATGAATGATGATATCATGAGGAGTTGGAAAATATATACTGACAACTAAAGAGAATAGAGAGATACGTGTCCACCCTATCATATTTTCCTGCTCTGCCGACAAGCAGCCTGTAGAACGACGAACCAGTCTATTTGGCTGTTTTGCCTCCGGCAGTCCTGTTTGAATTTTGATTTCGTTATCTTAAAATGGTCAGTGGCTCTCAGCATTTGATATCATTGAACTTTCTGTGTGGCTTCATTAATGCAAAATAATTATTGATTATGCATTAAAAAATCACGTATTGAAGTTAGTGTCTACTTTTGGTTTTTAACATAAAGCCCTGTCAACAAGCAACCTTAATAACAACCTGTATGACTTTCTTCTCTCTGCATTTTCTTGTTGACACATGGTTCATCTCCTGCTGAGCTACAAGCTGGTGGGCTTAGTTGTTGCATTTCCAAAAGCCTTCCTGCTTCACATTCATCCTCGTCTGAATTGTCATCTGGAAGCGGTATAGAGGCTGCTTTGATTTCACGAACTTGTTCCTGGTGGCTCCCTGCTGGTTCAAAAAAAGTTGAAGAGCATTTTATACACACGCACACACGTTTTGACAAAGCTTACGAATGCCTATCGCGTTATCTTTAAGAATCAGATTGGAAAGACATTCTACATAGATTGTCGTGACAAGATGACAGGTGAAATGCTCCATTTTCTCGCGCTCTAGCTGTATATCTCAAAAGTATCACGCATTATCTTCTCTTCAATGAAAGGAATTTAGTAATTAAATCGAGTGATCTTGACTTGCGGACATAAAATCTTAAATTGATCTTTGCCAGACAATCCCACAGATGCAAATTTATCAGAAAGGCTGATTGGCAAAGAGAATTTTCTCGCTTTTTGCACAAAAATACTGGTGGGCTCTGAAAGGTTACGCAGCCAGCAATAAAACAAAAAATCGGTTTCAACGTTGAAGAATTGTAATGTAATTGATAATTTTGTGTAGCCTCGAATTTTGTCTAACAAGCATTAGAACTATGAAAGCCCGAGGTATAATTACCTGTTTTTTTCTTTGGATGACTTTTTTTCCGCGGTGACACTATTTTCAGAATGTAATTATACATTGTATAATGTTTGTGTTGCTCGCGGGTGTAGACATGTCTGCCAGACTCGTTTGAGGAAGGTCCCTCCCCTGCACTCGAAGTATGGTTATAAGAATACACAGGACGATCTGAAAAAAAAAATTCCATTCTTAAAATTTGCCCAGTTGCAAAGTTAAAATGAAACTATACGGCGACATTTACAAGACATGAGTTCGATCTGAGTGTAACCTTCTCCCTGCGGTTGGTACAACTGTTTTGTTTTCTTTATTTATAAAATGTTTTACGCCTACAGCATACAGCCAAGATTACATGTAATCCTCATTCAGCCCCACCCATTTGAGCCTGTACAGAGGCCATGGCAACCCTGACAAACCTGATCTTCCAGGGTATAGTCTCATTGACGCGCGTACACACTTTGTTTAGCAATTTTTACCGCTGCTGTTATGGTTTGCAATCAATAACTATCGCTTTGACAACGTATGCAAGCAAACAACCCCAAAACTCAGGAGTTCATTGGTGGTGGTGGTGGGGGGTCATTTTGGCTGGGTTTGTGGGGAGGGTGTGGGCATAGATTTCAACATGTATTGACAGCGCGAATGGGCTAAGAATAGAAATTATTAGGACATACACAACGGGAGGGGACAGCTCGATTTCGCAAACCTCAGAAAGTGGCATAACACTCCAGAAAGTATGATGTTCAAGGAAAATCGAGACGCCAATATATTGTTATCTAATCAGGACAGGTGTTCTCAGACTAATTGATGCGCACAGTATTAGGGGTATTTGTATCTTATTTAAATATAGGGCCTAAGGTGCTGTAGCTTCCTATGGGAATGTGAAAATATTACAGTTGAACGCCAGAGCTTTCTCACCAGGGATGGCCGAGGTATTTGCTTGCCCCTCTGTTTGATTCTGTACACGAGGATAATTGTCTTTGTTGTATGCTGCAGGAGAAAACAATTCAAGTTAGCTCAACATAGGCTAAATATTCCAGGGACGCTTCCAACAACACAAGACTACCAGTAACACTGCACCTGGGCTTTGAAACAGTGCCGTGTACCGCGAGCGGCAGTTTCCATGGCATATGTTGCAAGTTCTGTGAGTTACAGGGCTTGGGTTTCAGGCTGGGTTTGGAATGGTTGGTTTTGGTTTTTTTGTAAGGAAGTGAAGCTTGGCGTCACTTTTGACAAAATGGACACTCTGTTTACGCTCTCTTTACAAACCACTAATCCCACTTTGCCCCACTGGACTCAAAATCTGGACAGGCCACTATCTTGAATGGGAAAGTTCCTTATCAACTCTAGCCCTTTCGTCAAGGCCTTCGTGGCTGTGTGTGTGTGTAACTGCAAAGCGACGGACAGAAGACCAGGAGAGTGGCGCAGCTACATGGCCTTTTCCAATTTGAGGTGTTTGTGGTGAATTATGCATAGGCTTTCTGACATGTATTATTAATAAATTACTTGGAAATAGTTGAAGCGCTGACAATTTGATCAGTCACAATGCAGATGTCTCCTTGTTTAGTCCAAAGGGCCGAAAGAGTTGAGTTCATGTCACAAACTAAATGAAAATAGTAGTCTCCTTCTGTCTCAATAGACAATGGATCTGCGCCGGCCAAAGTCAGTTTGTCGTGGAGCAGCGCTGGCTATGGCTGAAAAGTCCAATTCTGGAATAACAGTCTTTGTCACAGTGCCTACACATGTAGGCACTGGGCAGCAAAGGTGTGGAGGCTGCTCTTGCTCTACGTTGCTCCCTCTTGTCTTGCCACTGCTGCTTCCTTCTCTTCTCCCCTCTCTTGACACCTGTTCTGACGACATGACGCCAGTTGTTGCGGTCGTCAGCAGCCATTTCCCGTGAGCTTGGGTCGATCTTCGCAGCCTTCGTGTCCCTCTTGCACACGTCCTTGAAGCGCAGCATAGGGCGGCCGGCTGGTCTGGATCTTGCTGCGAGCTCGCCATGGAGGAAGTCGTTTGGCAGGCGTCCATCCTCCATCCGGCGAATATGTCCCAGCCACCTCAGACGTCTCTGGGACAGCATCGCAAACATGCTCTGGGTGTTTTCCTTCTCAAGCACCTCGGTGTTCGGCATTCTGTCCTGCCAGGAGATGCCAAAGATGCACCGCAGGCAACGTAGGTGGAAACTGTTGAGGCGGTGTTCCTGTTTGGCGTACGCTGTCAAGATTTCGCTACCATACAGCAGTGTGCTCAACACGCAGGCGTTATACATCGAAATTTTGGTGTTGACGGTACCGGTGAGCTTGTTGTTTTCCCACACCCTCGTTGACAGGCGTGCCACGGTGAATGCTGCTTTGCCAATGCGCTTGCCGATCTCAGCATCCAGGGACAAGTTGCTGGCAATTGTTGAGCCGAGGTATTAGTGAACTCCTGAACAACTTCCAGGGTGTGGTCACCTATGGCGATGCTGGGCGCTAATTGGCTTACGTCCTGACCCATCACATTTGTTTTTCTTCAAACTGATGGTCAGGCCGAACTCACTGCAGGCGTGTTCAAGGCAGGTTGTAAGTCTCTATAGTCCTGCCTCTGAGTGAGAGGCCAGAGCGGCATCGTCAGCAAACAGTATCTCACGTAGCAGCAGCCGATGGACTTTGGTCTTGGCTCGCAAACGAGCGAGGTTGAAAAGTTTGCCGTCTGACCATATATGGAGGTAGACCCCATCCTCTAAAGAATTGAAAGCGGACAAGAGCATCAGCGAGAAGAAGATACCGAAGAGTTTGGGGGCAAGGATGCATCCTTGTTTTACTCCGCTCTTGATGGGGAATGGGGCAGAGGATGAGCCGTCAAACTGTACTGTGCCCTGCATGTCGTCATGGAAGGACGAATGCACACTCAGCAACTTCGGAAGGCATCCAATCTTCTCCAAGAGCCTGAAGAGACCCTTCCTGTTGACCAGATCACTAGCCTTGGTCAGATCGATGAGGGCGATGTAAAGGGCCTGTTTCTGTTCCCAACACTTCTCCTGCAGCTGTCTCACGGTGAAGATCATGTCGATGGTGGACCTCTGTTCTCTGAAGCCGCACTGGGACTCCGGGTATACTCAATCAGTGAGCTGCTGCAACCTTTTCAGTACAACACGAGCGAATGCCTTCCCCACGATGCTGAGCAGCGAAATACCTCTGAAGTTGTTGCGGTCGCTGCGATCTCCCTTGAACTTGTTGAGGGTTATGATGTCTGCATCGCGCATGTCGTGGGGTATGGAGCCTTCCTCCCAGCACTGGCACAGGAGCTCATGGAGATGGTGAAATAGAGTGGGCTAAGCGCACTGCAACACCTCTGCCGGGATGCCATCGCTTGCTGGAGAGATAGTGAGATGACAACTACATGATACTTGTTGTGGGCATGGTGGGGGATACTGGCGCTGACACTGGAGTAACACTAGCAGTGCCTGACGGCCACAAGCTCACTCACAGTCTCACTGCACTCTCGGGCATTGGTTGTCGAAGCCAGTCAAAGCAAAACGGCTGTGCTTGAAATATGGAGCTTTTACCTTATCCCATTGGTAAAGAGACGAAAACGTCAAGTCTGCGTACAGATGCTCTAATAGTCTGACGCTGCAACGGTTTAAACTCGGCAAGTTGAAGTTTTCCAATAGCATATTTTAAAGAACTGTCCAAATATTGCTCAGACAACTGCTCACAACCGCCGACACGCTTAATACGCTCGCCATTTTTCGTCTACTTTCAATTTGCATAATATGTTAATGTTGCTGACCCCTCGCTTATGATTGGTTGGGATTTTCGCTACCCCAACAGGGTAGCAAAAATGGAAATATAAGGAAAACATAAGAAATTCCTGACAAGTTGGAAAAGGCCCCGTGGCTGCGCCACTCGCGCATGTAGTCTCCTCTCCAGTCGCTTTGCAGTTATACAGACATCCACGAAGGCCTTGACGAAAGGCTCTATTAAAACAGGATTAGCGTTTGCTTTGAATCTTGAAATCTTTCGAGCCATTTCGAGCAAAAATTGTTTCTAACGCTTCTGCGTATGTAAACGAAATGAAGAAGGAAGGCAGCGCTCTGAAACTCCTAACGGGCATATTACGCCAGAAACTTGAAGCCTTAATGATGTTTGAGGTAAAAGGTTTTGTTACGCCCCTTACAAAGTCTTACATTTCACAGTGAGGAGCGTCACTTCTTCATCAATACCTGCAAAGAAAGATGCTTTTAACATGTCAACCAAGAGGATTAATTATCTGCAGATTAATAAGAAGATTGGTTCCTCACAATACCCTTCATAATAACTCAGGTTTTGAACTGTGAAGCTATTCATGGTGAAGGTAGCAAATTAGTAATGGAGGTTTGCGGAAACACATTGGAAGGATATCTCTTTTGTGAGTAGGTGTGATGCTCAGTTTTTTTGTAACATAGCAGGACAGTATGTGTGGTTCAGGTGTTGTATATTCACAAGTACATACAGCACTAAAATATGGGTGTTATGAAGACACGTGGCCTCGAGGGTGTCTCTCCTATATGCTTTCATACTAGTTTGTCTATTGAATTTATCAAGATTTCATAAGACCTATAACTGCTACATGACAACAGCCTCTTTGGGGAGCGTAAACACTCCGCACTATAACAACTCTGCCCTGAATCCTTCAACAATCAGAATCCAAGACTGTTATAGCTTCAATTCAATCCCTGAACACTGAGGTATACCCCAACATTATTTGTAGCATTCACTTCTTCATAAAGTGGAACATTTTCATTTAGATGCTATACAGAGCAAATCATTTGCCTATCAGAAGATCACTTCTAGAAACCAACTCCGTGTGCCTTTACTGTACACATGCTCATAACACTGTTTTTGAATCCAGTCTCTGAGGTAAATTACTTGTCACACAATTTCCACTTTCTCTGTCGAATTCTCAATAGGTACGGTAACTCACGACAACCCCCATGGGAAACTGTAATTAAGAAAGTAAAATTCGTGTCACCAGTAATTTACCTCAGAGGCTGCAAGATCAAAACAAGCTAGCATTATTACTACCCCTCACTGTCCCCTTCAGGATCTTCTGAAGTTGGACGAATTCAGTAAACAGTAAATTGGCCAAATGGCACATGGAGGGGCCTTTTGGTTTCTATAACTAAAAGATGATACCACTTACCTTTACCTTGGTTTGAGTCCATCCCCTTGCCCTTCACGCATGAACAAATGATACCTTTCTCTGGACAGATCCTGCATTTGGCACCAGATCGATGCTTCACCAAAACAACACAGATCACGATGACCAAGATCACAAATGTCACACAGATCGCCGGAATGATAGCGAGTAGAATGTCTTTGCCATCCGAACCAAACCTTCGATCTGAATTAGCGAGAACTACAGAAAACATGAGCTTTTCTTTTGATCCGACACTAAACTAACCGGCAAATCTGACCCTCTTAAAATACTAATTAGCAAAACTAATCAGCCAAACTTCAAAATATGCTGAAAAGCTTTATGTATTCGTAGAAGGGGCCTCTGATACTACCATCGTGTCTCCTTTAGAGCATAAGGTTAATAATCTCTATTTTATTCCTATTGTGTTTTGTTTTAGTGGTGCAAATGTTTACCTGATACCACGACGACTTTCCCAGTGACAGGGGGGTTGTTGATAGCTAAACCAGAAGCATTACAGATGAATGTGCATTTGATGGAAGCGTTTGCTGGTAGATGCATCTGCAGCTCCTCTTGTTGACTGTATGTCTCGCTTGTTTTGTTGTAGAGTGAATATGCTTTAGTTGATATTATGGGTCGGTTGGACTCTTGACAGTCACCCAGAGACCACGAAAGTTCAAGTTCAGGATAGATGTTTTCAACCGAACAATTTAAGCGGAGATATTCATTCTCTACATTCAACGTGCAATCCTCATCAGATGTACAGTTGGAAATCGCGGGAAAATGTTCCTTTGAGGTCACTTCAGGAAAACACACATATATTTCAGAAAATAAAAGTTAGGGTACATCTTTTCTTCTTCGACTTATTAAACATGTTCTGACAAAAATGTCTGAAACCGCACAAAGGAGCGCAGACACAAACCAGAACATGAACTGTTCAATCAAGCACGAAGTATGACTGCAAAAAAGAAAAGTGACTAAAAAAATGACGGCATATACCAGTTATTGGAATTAAAATAACTTCACAATCGAGGCTATGCTGTTACAAAATCTACATTCAAAAATGAAAACGTACAAAACAAGACAAGTATCTAGACACCGAATATAGAATAAGACAATCTTATTTATGAACAATAACAACTAGAACAGTTCGTAGCAGTTACACAATTAACAGGACATTAAATAGATCTTACCTTTTCCAATGACATCTATGCACTCAGAAAGTATTCCTGACCCCTTTAGAAACAAATGACACCAGAATCGGCTGTTGGACGCTTTGAGTGGGTTGATGGATAAAGTTCCATCATCTCGCACGATGTAGTTACCACTGTAGTCAGTCATCACCACGATGTCTCCATTTGAGTACCTGGCACCAATGACGCTTGTGTCATTTGTCTCTTCGATGTCCAGAGACCAGTAGATATTGTAGCTAGATACAGGTCTTGAAAGTAGGAGAGGACAGCGGATTTCATGGCTTTGTCCTCGTTCAATGACCAGATTAGTCTTATTTGCAACATCCGTAGCTGGAAAATGTGAGTCTGAAAAATCGAAAGATCGACCGTTTATTGGAGTTATTTTACAAGCGGCGGGCAACTTATTCTTCAATTTTGTATTCTTCAATGTATGAAAACCCTTTTACATTTTTAGTTGGTTTAATGCATTAAAACGTGCACTTTTTAAGATGTCCATGTTTTCCTAAACGACTAAAAGTGCTGTTGCAGGGAAGTAATCTAGGGAAGACACAGTTTAGTGTATGTCTTTTCTGTTCAAATTGTGAACTCACATTTTACTTACTGAAAACGTTTCTTAGAAAGGGGTTGATGCTTGCTTATTGTTACGCATACAAATTGACAATGAATTAGTGAACACGAAGTCAAAAAGGGAAAAATTTATAAAAATCTACAAAAATACAGGACTTTTTTGTGAACAAACCAATATAACGTTGAGGATTTCTTCCTGGGATGACATGATATGGATTCTTATGGAAATACTCGTTAGCATAAAACCAAAGAGGCAAAAAATACCCTTTGTGAAAAGGTGAAATGCAAGTTTTAAAAATAAGGTTAACTGAGGCACAAAAGTCCCAGAGTCGTCCGGGCCGACACAGGCGAGCGATCTAACTGAAAAGGCCCCAAACACTTTTTTGTGATGAGAAAAAACAATTAGGGGGATTGTAAAGGTTTTTCTGGACTTCCCAACAGCGAAAATGATTCGAATATAGCACGCAAAAATGGAGAACTATTAAAAGCCATGAATATGCCATTCTGATGTAAGGCTCTATTACAAATGTACATCTGTATTATGAACATCAACTCCATAAGGTCATACAGGGTCAGCTAACCCCCCCCCTTTACAAACTTTAATGGCCAGCAAGTCATCCCCGCACATACACAATTCCACACAATGAAGCTCGTGCAAGTCCTCCAGCTATTCTTCCCATACCAGCAGTCTTATTAGTTCATGACCGAGCACCGTCTGCCTCCAGAGGTCGGAGTAAACCTCCTATGTCAAACTCCATGAGGTCAACTCGTTGAAAACTACCAATAGTCACACATGTTCCGGCCCATTGTGTACGCATAACCCATTGAGTCCACAAACTTTTTCTGGCCCATTATGTCCGCCCCACTGTGTCAGCAGGCCTAATATGCGGACATACAGAATGGTGCAGGGGACATAACGGGCCTGCAGACACAATGGGGCGGACAGAATGGGCCTACGGACACAATGGGGCGGACAGAATGGGCCGGAAAAAGTTTGCGGACACAATGGGCCAAGCGGACATATAATGGTCCGGAACACACGCAGTTCACTCCAACAGAATGAACTAGCACTTCAACCACGAACTAACCCAAGGCATTGAAGAAAACGCGCGTAGCGCGTGTCACTTTACTCCTATTATGTTTAGTCTGGTGCTAGCCTAATTATCCAGCACAGCACGGCCGCCATAGATGGTGACTGGGTACTAGTCTTCTCAACGACTACGGTAACACCCGGCTACCATTTAGCACCTTGTTTTTGCACTGCAATATCATAACAGGTGTGAAAGTCAAGGTGAAGTGTTAGACACGGTTTTGCTTGCTCACACGTCTGCATCTTATTATTAAGACAACCAAAACTTACCCAAAACCGTAACAGCGACAGATCCTTCATGCTGGACGCCTGTCTTGCTTAGCACCACTCTGCACTCATACACACCTTCGTCACTCCTCTCAACATTTTTTATAATGAGACTATGCGTTTCAGACAGTTGATAACGATCGTTCAGAGAGTAACTATCACCCACGTAGGTAGGTATCTGGCGGGCTAATTCTTGTTCTCCCCTGAACCAGAATGTGAACAAAACTTCTTCTCCTGCCCAGCTGAGGCATGGTATCTGATGCGTTTGACGTGTTTGTATGTAGACATGCTCTTCTGACACATAGAGGGAGTCCTTAACGCTTTCACCACCTGTCGTATTAACAGTTAAGAGCGCAATTGCTCCATTAATAATTCTCATGTTAAGAGCAACCAGTCCATAATAACAGACCGATCAGGTCACACATCGGGACACAAAGACACGTTACACGGGTATGGCTGAGCTTATAGAGAAACGGAATAAATGGAGACTCAGGTTATAGGGGTCGGGTTGTGTATACACCTAAGGTGACTTGTAAATAGACATTTATCACTTGATACACGGTCAGTCTTACCTTGACTAAATTATGAGGGGAAACACGCTGTAAAACAAAGTCTACTTAATTCTTAAACAACAAAAGAAAATGGAAATGGTAGGCCTCACTGCGATGGACTTACAATATACACGTACATGTCCTTCAGTCCCCAAGGATAAAAGTATGGGATAATGTTTTTTATGTCAAGTTGTTCTGAATTGAAAATATGAGGGGGAGACACTTTACCTCGACTTTTTGTTATGATACATGAGGCAGATTCGATTCCTCAAGTCTTGGCACCGATACAAAGAGCGTCGATATGAGCTGAAAGCACTGCTTGGCTACTGCTCGCTTTTGTTAGCCCTCTCCCTCGAGTTAGTATGACTCTTTGAATATTCCCAATGCTACATTCACTGTTCCCTTCATGAAGAATTTTTCAAAAGGAATGCAGAAAATAAAGCTTTATCTTACCGTCTCTTCTGGGGCGAGACCTGTTCAGAGTAACGACTTGCTCTATGTATTCCAGATCAGTTCGATTCCTTCTTATCTTGGATTGTTTAGGTTGGTCAACAGCTACGGAATCGCCTAGGACTCCACCAATGCATAGGAGCATCAACAAAGCAAGGAGAAGATCCATCTACATACGAAAACAAAATCTGAACCTCAACCTCAGCTGGGACATGGTTTACGCCGTGCACCTCTGCGCACACACACAAAACAGCCAGTCCCTTTTCCACACTCATGCTTTCAGGCCTAATTCTGTCAACTGTATAAGGTAAGCTCTACCCTTTTCACTAAATCATGAAAAATGTTTTATTCATAATCATACCTTTGGCCACAAATTCACTGAAACAGTTAATTTTGCTTGACCCCGTCAGCATCTAAAATTAATGCCGGGCACCAACTTTCAGTGGTGTATTTTTGGGTGTGGTGTGAGGGTGCTAAAGACTTCATGTACGATAATCGCTACACTACAGTACATGAACAGGCGCTAGCACCATGCATGGCCACTATTGAATACATGCAAGTCAACAGTATGACCCTCAAAACCGACTTTGTTTCACTCAGAGAATTACATGAAAGAATTTTGTGTTCTGTAGCTACCCGTATGGGTAGAGCAGAAACTCTTGTGGATTTCAAATGGGTGTCGAGGGTTGAAGGTGGCCATCCCTATTTTAAGAATTTATTCAAGTGATATGTCTTGTGTTCGGGTAGAAATAGTAGGATAAAACAATGGCTCAATTGTTCACTGGTACAGTGTGTCAATGAGGTACATGTTTCTTTGGATAACACTGAACATCTCTACCCAAGTTACGATGAATTACTGCATTAACGTCTCATGCATCACATTGGGTTGTGAAACATTAAACAGCACATGTTTATACCACATTTCCAACAATTTGGAAAGTTATTCTGCTAATCAGCAGAAGTGCTGTGATCCCCTCCAAGTACATGCAAGCAAAGAGCATTCCATGGTGATAAAATTATGTTAGAGCTTTACAAGGATATCATCTTCTTGGTCTCACACCAGAAATTCAACAGGTTCCACAGCCAACAGCCCAGATGAAATGTTGGAACTGTTGAACGAGAAATTTACTACATGAAACAGCGAGACCAGCTTCAGACTTTCACACTCCTTCCAAAGAGTTGGAGTGTTCGCAAAACGATGCACAGGCCTTAACCCTAAAAGAGACGGAGGGGGAGGCAAAATCTGCAGCATGAATATGAAGTTTGAACTCAATCAGATATGTGGTTTTGTAGTTAGGGTCATTTGGAGTTTCTGGATGCATGCACAAATGCTCAAAACTCTTCAAGGCTCAATTACATTCAGTCTTCGGTTACATTGGAAAATATCCCCCGGCTCTTTTAGGGTTGAAACGTTTGCAACACTGTTGACTTGCAAGTACTCAGTTGTGGCCAAAAAGTAGTGTACAGTAGTGTAGTAAGTACACGTAGTTTAGCACCCTCAGATTTTACGTTTTGTCCAGTCAACACACGACAGCTCCTTAGTCCTCGTAATATATTCAGACTCCGTTACATGGGCAAAACCTAAAATGGGCTTCTCAAATGAAATGATAATTTTGTATGATAGGCCCATATGTACATGTATATTGTTCTAGTTACTGAAAACCATTTAATTAAAAATTAATGAACCGTAACAGTCCAAAATCTTCCTATTTCAATATGACTGTACATACACCTTAGGGTTAATTTCATTTTAGAGCATAAATTGCTTGGAAACAAATTCCTCCATTAGGATTACATACAAAATTGACATATTCTAACCTGACCAACTGTAGAAAAATTGTCATAACTTTTTTACTTTAAACACCCCAGGGAGAGTCCAGCGAATTCTTCTAGAGAAGGAACCACACTTTCAGAAACACTTGGTTAAAAATAATTTCAAAATGATACAAAGGTCACTGACCCATGTCAAAGGTCATCTTGACTCTTGATTCACAAAGCTAACTTTCTACGGTGTCCGTGAAAAGAGCATCTATTCTTCTGATTATATTGATACCACATTTGCATATATTCAATAAAAACGAGAGGGTTATGTGTCATTTTTACTAAAAGGGTGGATTTTTAAGTGAAAACTGTCCATTTTTATTTATCTCTGCCCTGACTACCTGGAAGGGTGGATTCTGCTAAAAATTGGCAAGTGTTTATTGTGATGTCTACAAGTACAGCCTGAAGACCCAGTCTGAAGACCCAAGGTCAAAAAGTGTGTTGGTGTGACATGGAAAGAGCTTTATGTATCATCACAGGCGCAAACTGAGATTGTAAACAAGTGAGTAAAAAAGTGGAACACAAAACAAGCCGAGGAATTGGACTCTAAAAAATCTGCATATACATGTACGTTGCAAGTAAGGACTTAATATATTAAACTGACGAAAAAAACTCCACAAGATTCAACTCCCTGACAACTCCGAAACACTTTTCATATAACAAAACATGTTTTGATTTCATGGGTTTGGAATGCCCTGTTTTATAAGCCAATTTTGGACTACAATGAATGAATATTGCTGCATCATCCACACATACAGACTCAACAGCAAGTGCTGTACGTCGCATTGTTAGCATGTACAATACTGAACAGTACAGTACTCGGTATGGCGTGTTTAGGCCTCCATGATTTTCACGAGTAGACGTAGGTCTCAGTCAAAATGAGTTCTGGCGGTTAAATCTTTGACGATACAAACTTGGAAGTTTTGGGTTACTATACATTTACTTATAAAATTTCCGAATAAATTGTATTCAAACGTAACTCACCTTTTCGGGTTTGCAGTTTGTAGGGAAATCCCCAGCTATATTTATCACGTTACCCGCGCTCTCCCGCTTATTTTACTAGACTGGTTACATGATCTCAATGAACAGTTAGGGGTATAGTGCAATAATCCAAGCCGCACTGTAAAAGGCGTAATAGTATAATACCAAGTTTAGGGATCAATAACTGCAAGCCAACTTTACTGGAGTTCCCCAAACAAAAATCAGATCGACTTCTTTTCAATTCATTGGGGGTTAGCTGGATAGAGTTTCAATTATTCACACAAAACAAACCCACCCCTCGAAAAGTTTCTGTGGCACCGAGGACGGTGTTTCATCGCAGTAATCTATCAAGTTATCAACTCTGCCCTCCAATTGAAGCCCTCAAATCGAGGGAATTGATCCTGCCCCATATTTCCATAATTCTGCTTTTTTTCCGGCCAAACAATCCCCATTCTCGAGAGTACATGTTAAAGAGTTCAGCAAAAATTATCACTTGAGTTAGTGGTACACGAAAAGGTTAGATTTTTAATTTTCAAAGTTACGTTTATCTTTCTAGGCAAAACAACGTGCAAAACAAAACCCACAAGCATTTGTCAAAATAATACCAAAAGCTTACAAAAAGAAGAACCAATGGCAAAATTACTTCATTAAAGTAACAACGCCCCATTTGTGTCAACATGCAAATTTAGGTCAAAGCTTACACTTTAAAAAAAAGCACAGTAATGTGTAACATTTTACAGGGCAATAACGAAGCACTTCGTGGAGTCCACTTTTATTTCCATCCAGTTCAAATCTCTCATAAATTCTGTGAATCCCAAATGTACTCTTTACTGTCTTAAATTATACAAAACAATAATCAAGTAATCCTTTAAGCGTACGTCTCATATTACTATGTTTTAAATGTATTTGTTTTGTTTTTTTTTAGGCCGGGGAGGGCTGAAGATTGCAAGTTTCTTCAATTCAACTAACAGCGTAACATTCGTTACAACAGCAAAACAAAACTAAACCGTCCATTGTTCGCTTCTACGACGCAATTTTGCCTCCCACGTTGAATGTTGTTCTTTGACTTTGTCTAGCTTGGAACGCTGAGCGTCTCGGCGGTTCAGAAAACTGTGTGCAGACTGAAAAGACTCGGATGTAAAGACGTGGAAAAAATATAGATCTGAAGTTATGACAGTTAATAAGAAAATACGAACGTTGGGTTATTTGGATCCATTATATGAAAACGCGCCAGTTTTCGATGGTTTACCTGTCTTTTGCAGATTTTAGCTTTCAGTTTTTTTAAATCTTCTCATTCCCGGATTTTTTTCTTATCTGGTCCCTCCGCCATCAACGGTGGACGGTCATCGCGTTCCATTTCCGTGGCAATGGCATCCTGCGAAGTAGCAGTAGACACGGATCCCATCTCCTCCACAATCTCATCTGCCTCCATGACAGGCGAACCTTGGTCTACTGAATGGATTTTGTGAAATACAGTTTTGAATAGATAATGCCTTCAGTCCAAAACAAATTTTTAATTTCCAAGTAAATTTGAGTATACATGAATAGAATTTATAACAATAGAAAGTAGGTTTGCGGTAGCACCATGGACCTATCTCTTTTGTGAGTATTTGCAGTTCTGAAGGGAAGTTTCTAAGCCGTAAAGGCCCGGGGCAGCTCGCGTGCGCGTGCGCAGAACCTCACTGGACATGTGCTTCACCAAAAACACACACACACACAAAATCAGCCATGGTCGAAACTTAATTTGGAGGTCCGTGGCTTCACCCACTTTCTATACCCTCTGACCAATTTTCAATAAGCGATCCGATTTTGACCCACACGTAAAATCCCTCTTCGCCCAGTCGCCTTATAAGCACCGATCCGATTTTGACCCGTAAAAAGAGCCC